ACGGTATTATGAGGAGCCGAAAGGAACGCAGGAAAGCACAGGACGGAGGGAAACGCCGGGCCGGGACGTCTGGGCTCTCACCTCTTCGTCCAGGTCCGAGAACCCAGCAAGCTCCTCCTCGTCCGCCGCCCGCTGGCGGAGGAGCATGGCTTCCTTGGCGGCTCGCGCCCTGGCTGCCGTGAGCCCGTCCTCAGGCCCTCTCCCCGTCATGGACAGGGAGAAGGAGGACCGTCGCACCCCCCGCAGCACCAAGGAGGGGGAAGGGAAGGACGCGGACGAGAACCATCTGCTACCCCGCCCTTCCTCCTTCCCTCCTTCCCTCCCTCCCTCCCTCCCTACCCCCTCCGTGGGATCGGGTCCTGGGAAGCTCGGTCTCTCAAGGAAAGGATTTTCACTTGCCAACCGATCCTGTCCCTCCTCCGCATCTTCTTCCTCCTCCTCCTCCACCTCCTTCTCCAGCGACACCTCCTCCACGCGTCTCTTCACGGCCTTCCCCCCCGCGGGGCCTCCAAGCGCAGAAGATACCCCCGGAGATGGCGCCTCTCTTTCCCCACCCCTACGCGATTTGAGAGCGGCCATCCCGTCCTTGTGTTCCGAAGGCGCGGCAGCGATTTCCTCCCGGCCGCTTCGTTTCTTCTTGGACGCTCCCCCCTCCCCCGTCAGGCCCACGCCACCCTCCCTGGCCTCCTCCGCGCCACTGCCTCGACCCCGCTTTCGCATGTGTCGGCCCTCCTTGTCATCGTTTGCAACCGCATTCTTTCCACCACGAAAGTCAAGCCCATCGCTCCCGCGGCGTTTCTTCACTACGCGTTCACCCACCTCCTCACTTTCCGGCCTCATCACTTCCCCTGCCTTCTTGCCGCCCCGTCTTTTACCAGCCGTGCTTTTGCTCATCACTGTCCCCGTTGAGGCCCGCCGGTGGTTCCCGAGGCGTGTCCGTGCTGAAGTTGAGTTTTCTTTTCCTCCCTCAGGCTCTCCCGCGTTGCCCACAAGCGTGGATGGGCCAACGGTCTGTCGCCGCCTCCGTTTGCTTACCATGGCTATTGACAAACCGACGTCTCTCTGTACAATGAAACGGATGAGCATGGGGTCAAGATGTGGGACGTGGCTGAGAAACACGGGGGCAGGCCGGGACAGGGGGGGGATGACTTGCTCGTGCGTGTCCGCACGGACAAGCACACGACCGAAGGCGTTCTCAATCCTTGTATGTACAAAAGAGTCCGATGGCCAGCCAGCACAGGACAATAGCGGGGCCACGTTGATAACATTTGCCTCCCAAGCAGACAGAGGAATGAAGCGACGCTAGTAAAGTTCGATCTCACGATTTTTTTGCCCATACATAGCAAGCACGGACGAGCACGACAAGGAAAAGGGTTGAGCGCTGCGCGAAGAAAGATGGCCGCCAAGGTTATGTGACCTTCACTACCTAGTCATGCACGTGATCTCGCGCTCGCAATCCTCTCGACAGCGCATCCAGCACTTTGCTGGCTTTTCTTTGTCCCTTTTTGCAGTCAAAACGTCGACAGCATCGCTCGCCTGATTCCTGTTAGCGAGGTATCAGACCTCTACCATGTCCTCCTGCTCCCTCCCACACAAAATACACGACCCGCCCAGACCACAAAAAAGGCGTCCCATCCCACCACCATGTCAGATCGGTATAATTTTCCTCTGGACACTTCTGGTCAGATGATTCTTTGGGGATGTGATACTCGTTTCGTTGTCGCTTGCGCAAGGCAGCAGCTACCTGGCTGAGTCTAGTCTCATTTGACGTTCCTCCTGTTTGCAGGTTTGCTCAGCATGGACGCAAGAAGAAGGAGAAAGAGGAATGAGAGCTGCCCGCTGCAGGAAATATTCCTCTTTCTTTTTGTGCTAGGGCTCGCCGTTATTAAGGACGTGGGTGGGTTTATGGTTTCGACCCTGTGCAAGCGGCCATGGAGCTGCCCCAGCCAGGAAGCGAAAGAGGTTTGTCAAAGAAAGGCGATATACTTCACATTCTCGCAATGTAAGACCTTCACGTGTGACCACTAATAGTTCCAAAATCACACTAACAAATTCTAGGCTTTACGACCATTCGGATGTCGGGCGCCTTTCAATCCCAATTTTCCGTCGACCAGGCTACGAACTTCCCCCTCTTCCTCCCCCACCTCCTCCTCCTCCTCTCACCTATCCATCCTCGAACTGCTCAAAGCCACCATCGGCCTCCATTCTGGGCCATGGAGCCTTCCTATCTCCAACACGAGCGTCGTCCGACTCTCTGTAAGTCGAGAAAGGGGAACAAGGAAGGGGACGACAATGCCCTGTCCTGGCTTCTCTGATTTCCAGCAAAATATTCTCACGCTGATGCACCCATGCCAAATCCCATGATCAGACGGCGCGCGAGGTGTGGAATGAGACCGAGCCCTGGCGTCGCTACCCCGTGGGTTTTTCCAGGCCCTCGTCCACCGCCTTCGTTGCCGACCTGGACAAGTGAGAGAGGCAGGCGGACTGGGCGGGAAGGGGGCGGGGAGGAGAGGCAGAGGAGGAGAGATGGAAAGGGGAGGAGCAGGGCGGGGGGGAGCCCGCATTGGCTGAGTACCGTGTGTGGATCCCAGGGTCCCGGCGTCCTCACTCCCTCCCCCCCCCTTTCCGCCCCTCCCT